GCACCGAACGCAAAGGGTGGCAACGCTCGACGGCGACCTTCAAGCGCTCACGGGTTTAGCGTTCGGCCCCGGGCACCGACGACAGAGCTGAGCATGGTTTATCCGACCCCCATCCCCAGCGGAGTGGCCTGGGCCCCACTGGCCGATTTACCCCCCTAGATGGGGATATAGGCCGCTCCCTCCGGGTTTCGAGGGGTGCATCACCAACTGGGGGGGTCATTTGCTGGGGGCCTCGAAGGGGATGGGGATGAGGATGGGGATTGGTGAAACGATGATACCGACGTTCGGCCCCAGGCGCCGACGACACAGCACCCTCCGCACCGAGACCCTGACAGCAGCCAGGCTTATGTCGGGCGTGTCCCCCCACAGGGGGATTTTCAACGAAAAATAAAAAATACACCCAAATAATTTCAAAATAATCTAGAAATAGCCTGGGGACTATTTTTTGGGTATTTTTTTTTGGGACCTTTTTGATATATTTTGGGGTAGGCTTTAGGTTTCGTCGAAAATCCTCCTGCAGGGGCACACGCCCGACTGGAAGCCAGGTCTCCTGCACCACCTGCCGCAGCAGGGGGTCCACGCGCGGCCCCCGGGCAGGCCGCTCGCCCGCGCCGCGCGGCGGCGGCGTGGCGGCGGCCGCCGCGGCGCGCCCCGACCGCCGCGCCCGCTGCTGCGAGGCGCCGCGGCGCGGCGCGGGCCCGCGCGGCTGCGGCCGCGCCGTGCCGCCGCTGGGCAGCGGCCCGCCGGGCGGCGGGGAGCCGAGCGCCTGTCGCCGCCTCCTCCTCCTCCTCCTCCGCCTCCTCCTCCTCCTCCTCCTCCGCTCCTCCTCACCCTCCTCCTTCTCCTACCCCTCCTCCTCCTCCTCCTCCTCCTCCTCCTCCTCCTCCTCCTCCTCCTCACGCTTCTCCGTCTCCTACCCCCTCCCTCTTCCTCCTCCTCACCCTCCTCCTCCTCCTACCTTCTCCTTCTCCTCTCCTACCCCTCCTCCTCTTCCTCCTCCTCCTCCTCCTTCTCCTCCTACCCCTTCTCCTCCTCCTACCCCTCCTCCTCTTCCTCCTCCTCCTCCTCCTCCTCCTCCCGAGCGTGGGGCCTGGCACCTGTTCTCATGGTGTCGCTGCTTCTTCCGAAAATGGAATCGTGGCAACGATCGCTTCACCATGGAGGCTTACTCGCCGGCCCAACTGGCCGGAGGCGTGCTAAGATCTCCGGTAAGAAATTAACACTATGACAAATTCGCGTGCGCGAGGCGGCCCCTGGGGGCCCCGACGCGACAAGTACCCCGCCAAAGTCCCGGCAAGTGCCCGTCAGAGATGCCGGACGCCCCCCAGACGGCCCAAGAGGCGCCCAAGACGGCCTCAAGAGAGCGCCCAGACGGTCCAGGAGCCCTTGGAGTCCTCGAAAGATCGGCCGACGACGACGCCACAAGATCGCTCCAAGACGCCCACCCTGGCCTCCAGACGCCCCCAAAGGCCTCAAAAAGCACTCCCAAGAGGGCCCCAAGAGGCAAAATTAATTGATTTCCTTTAGGTTTGGGATACATTTTCTGGTTTCTCCTTTTTCGGCTTTCCGACGCTCCAAGATGGCCTAAGAGGCTCCCAACATCGCCCCACGAGGGTCCAAGAGGACCCCAAGACAGTCCCAAGACGGCCCAAGATGGCCCCAAGACAGCCCAAGAGGTGCCCAAGACGGCCCAAGAGCCCCAAAACGGGTGACCAGGAGCCGAAAAGTCCAGCCTTCAGCCCCAAGAGGTCCCCAGGAGGCCCCAAGAGGCCCCCAGGAGGCACTCCAAGAAGCCCCCAAGAGGCACCCCAAGAAGCCCCAAGAGGCCCCAAGAGGCCCCCAAGAGGCCCCAACACGGCCCCCAAGAGGCTTCAAAACTGCCTCTCCAAAGGTCCCTGAGAAGCCAACCACGAGAGCCCAACCAACATCTGTCAGGCCTCTGACCCGCCACCCACCGCCTCCGAAAAATGGCAGCCGCCCAACCACACCGCATTGACAACAACACTCCGGCAAACGACAGCGGCGAGGCAATATGGGCCAGCGGAATGAGCGAAGCGATCGAATCACGATGCGCTAAGTGGCATGATCTGCAAGGATCCCAGCAGGGACCCACGCAGTAAATCTGCAGAAATCCCAGGCTCCCCCATATTTTTTCCTTATGCCATGGATGCTCGTTCTCCGCCCCCTTCTTGTCTTGTCCATACTTTCCTGGGAAACGACGACTGCTTGTGCCCGTGCTTGTTCTCCCTCCTGCAGGGTGCGGCGCACGCAGGAGCGGCGCGCTGGCGGCGGACCCCGCGCACCGCCCACACAGCCCCCGAGAGGGGGGAGCCCAGTCCGACGTGCCCGTGCGAACCCCGAGGCGCCTACGCGGCAGACAGCGAAGCGAGGCGGGGCAGGGCTTTGGAGTACCAAAAAACCGTGCGGCGACGGACGGTGCGGTGACCTCGAAATCCCCCAAGACATCACCGCAGGGTCCATCACCGCGCGGTCTTGGGACCTCGAATGCCCCAGTCGCCCGAGACGTCCTCGGAGAACAGAACGACCCGAGTCCCAAAACCGTGCGGTGACCCCGAATCCCCACCGACTCACCACACGGTGTGGTCACAACCCCGATTGGGGGCCCCCGGAAGGCAAAGCAATGCGCCGATGTTCGCCCCCGGGGGGGGCGGCCCTCTAAGAGCTTGGTGGGGGCGCCGGAACGCCGAAACTCAGATGTCGTAGCACACGATTGCTTCAGGATCTGGCATTCGAATCATTGGCTCCAGTGGAACAGTCCTTCCCATCAGTTTGAAAGTGGAACATTTTGCCAAGTGAGGGCACTTTTGAGACAACAGACGGTACGGCGCAGAAAGTCTATGATTTGTAGACAAACTACAATCAAAACTGTTAGTAAGGATGCGCGATAAGGGTGCAATGGCCTGGGACACCCATGCCGAAGCTGGTCGAATCGGGCCGCAAGCAGGAGGGAAGCCGAGGGGAATGCAGCGCGATGGACCCCTGCGGTGCCGAAGGCAAAAACCTGCAATAACCCTGGACTCGGGACCTGAGCATCGTTTAACCGGTTCCCATCCCCACTAGCGTGGGCAGGGCCCCACTGGCCGATTTAATGCCCTAGATGGGGATATAGGACGTCTCCTTCAGGTTTCGAAGGGCATATCCCCACCTAGTATGCTCAGATGTTGGGGGTCTGGATGGAGATGGGGATGGGGATGGGGATCGGTTAAACGATACTGAACTCCCGCTGATGGGGGAGAGAGGAAGAGGAGAAACAGGTGGTTGCCAAGTTCGTCAGCCCCACAAATCCGCTGCTGCCAACTCTGGCCCACGCCGAAGGTGAACAAGCACCAGCCACAGTGAGACGTGCTAACGCATTCGCCCCCAGGCATACAGCGCGGCGAGCGTCGGACCGCCCATGGGTGTGATGGTGTGGACCCGAGAGCAACACGCAATCAAACTTGCAGGTCCACGGAGTATGCAAACGAAGACATGTGCATCTGTGGAAGACGGGGGTGGAATAATGGAAAAAACGATGGCCCTGAGCCAAGCACACGTCCTCAAGAGAAGGGAGGAGGATCAGGAGGGCGATGAGGGAAGCAGGGCATTAATTTCTAGATGCTGTGTTGATCCAATGGGACGTGCTTCGCCCACCGACGCGGGGCCAACCCGAAACAAAGCCGAAGAGAGGGAGAGGAGCAGGAGAGGGTGTAAGATGAACGAAGTAGCGAAACTGAGGAAACGGAGGAGCAGAAGCAACACGAGTAGAGAAGAAGGCGCCAGTGCAGGGCAAACGACCCCAGGCCGAGCCAAGCGCTGGTTTCATGCTGCCTGGCCATCAGAAGTGTGTGGCGGTGATGGGCCCGACGGAAAGCGAAGGGGAGATGGGGGAGCGGGAGGAAAGGTGCAGTCCTCAGCATCCCGCTCCACGTCGTCCCCCCCGTTGCCAGTAAGGGAACCAGCCCCGAGAAAAACACACCCCTGGACCCCGAGGCATGCCGTGGAACCGGCCCATCCGAAAGCCATTTCCAGACGGTCCCAGGACCCAAAGCAGCGACAAAGCTCAGGACGACCCCTCTCCAACAAGCACCCTTGTGGGAAGACCAAAAGGTACCAATACTGCTTACTCCCTGGACCATTCCCCGAGAGCGGTCTGGCTAGCATTTCGAAGCGAATCCGGCGGTGGCGACGAGGGCCTCGGCCCAAAAAGGCGAAAACGAGGCAAGGGTAGCGGTATGCGTGCCTTTTCCTCTTCTGAGAACTCAAGATGACTCCGCTCCCTCAGGCACCCCTCCTCTCCACGGCGATCCCCGCTGGGGCCCCCACCCTCCAACCCTGCACCACGCATCTCGCGCGCCCTCTCCGCGGCAGGGGGGAAACCTCGACCTGGAATCGGCGCAACATCGCCGATAGTTAGCGGCGCGCACAAAAGGGACAGAGGGAGGTTGGAAGGCTTCTTAGAAGAAGGCTGCTTTTCAGAAGGCGCGGGCCTCACATCTATAGACAAGGACCGCGCCTTCTCGGCGAGGCGCAGCCGCTGGAACGCACCCCGAGGCAGGAAAACCGCCGAGAGCCGACGAAGATGTCAGCTAACCTCGAACTTCGATTCTTAACGTTGCCACTGAGCCTACCCCCCCTGGCGCAGCCGCTGGAACGCATCCTGAGGCAAGAAAATCGTCGAAACCTGGCGAAAATAACTGCCAGCAAACGTCGAACCTCGATTCCCAAACTGTGCCCCTGAGACAATCCTCCTTGTGACGTTCCTTCCGGGCGGATGTTGGAGCAAGGGACAAGGACACCACCACCACCAGGGACCACACTACCAGGGCGGGTCCCCCTGGTGGTGTGGTCCCCCCTTTCGCTCGAGACACCCCCTCCCCCCAGCTCGACAGGGCATCGTGGACCTCCTCGCTGGAGGTGGCTTTTGTGGTGGTGGTGTCGCTTCCCCCTCCCACAGAGATGGGCGCGAGCCTCGCGGGCGCTGCCCGGTGCCGCGCGGGCGCCACAGAGCGCTGCCTCGCGCCTCGGCGGCCAACAGGCGCCGCGGCGGCGAGGGGGGGGGGGGGGGGCAACATCCACGGACGATGCCAACGATTTTGAGCGGCGCCATGCGAACGATACCCCCGCCGCCAATCGATTCTCCCGAAACGATGGGAGGCGGGGGGTGGAGTTCGGATTTTGCCACGTGTTCGACGATTGGCGAAGCCTACACCCGCCGCCCATCGAATTGCTTGAGTCGGTGAACGGCGAAGGTGGGGTTTGGATTTCACCACCAAAAATTGGAACACACATGCCATCCAGCGCCGCGGAGTTGCAAATAAGACAGACGGGGGCGGGCGCGGGGTGGGTCGCAGGTGGGTCGCGGGGTGGCTCGTGCGGTGGGTTGCGGGTTGGGTCGCGAATATCTCGCGGGTGGGTCGTATGGGGGGACGGAAATCACGAAAACGACGACGACAACAACAATAATGTTGATATTCGCTCTGACGTGCACGATCCAACGCTACTCACCATGTATATCTCGCACCCTCGATACACCGTTTCCGTCGTCGATCGCGACCCCCTTGGGGGTAGATTTTCCATACATGTCAGTGGTGGTTGGCGCACATCCTCGAACATGGGAAGGAATGAGGGGAGGGACAATGGGGGTGGGAGGAAGGACGGGGCACAATATTCGCAGGAGCAGGAATCTTGACCCGACGGAAAATTTAACCCAACACGAAGATCTGTTGAGTTTGCCCCTTGCAGTTTCACTTCCGCTTCGGCGGGGGCCTCCCTCCTCCTCCTCCTCCTCCTCCTCCTTTTCCTCCTCTTCGCCCTCGCGCCCCATTCCATGGTCCTTCTCGTCCTCCTCGTTCCAAGTCTTCCCCTTGTCCTTTTCCTCTCCGTTTTGTTGTTTCTCCTCCTCCTCCTCCTTCACCACTTTTGCTCAGCCTCAGAGTCCACCGTGCTCGTTTTCCTTGTCCCCATCTCAATCCCGCCTGTCCTGCCCGTGTTTTTGTTTGCGGGCCGGGGCACGCGTGCAGATTTTCCTCGGCGCCGTCGCCGCCACGGCTTGAAGCAGCGCGTTGTCCGATGGCCGGATGGCGAAGCCATTGGGGGATCCCCGCGGGAAGATCCGTTGGGGCAACACCGCAGGCCGCTGGGGCGCATGAGCAAACCGTTGGGACAACCCCGCGGGTCTGGGGCTAGCCGCGGCCGCACTCAGGCGGGAAGCAGCGGGAAACCCAGCTATGCCGCGAGTCGCTCCGCCTCAACCATGCATGGATTTTGCCGCCCTGTTGTCGAACTCCCCAAGCGCCTTCCGCAAGGGCGCGGGCGGCCCGTGCTCCAGGAACTCTCGGGCACGCGGCCGCAAGATCAGCACGTTCCGCATGCGCGTGGCACGTGAAAACACGACGTACGGGTGAAGCCACCACTTCTCGTCCGACATGCCCGTGCGCCCAGCGTCCACATCCCTGGCGCAGTTGATGGCGGCGCCCTCGCGCAGCGTCTGGCCCCGCGACAGCGTGGAAGTCAGGTGAAACGCGCGCGCCAGGGCGAACCCCGAGCGGCGCGCGGCGCGCGGTCCAGAGCTCTACCGCGTGGGCTCCTGCTCGCTGGACCTTAACATGCGAAGGCTACTCGCCCGCGCCTCGGCCCTGCCGTCGTCGCCAGCCCCTTCGGCCATCGTGGGGGGGGGCCCCACTCGAGAATTCCTCGCGCATTCTCTCGCGGGCGAGGCCCCCGCCCGAGACGGCCTCCATATTCGAGCCCGGGGAACCCCAAACTAATGGCACTTATACGGCTCCCCGAACAAAACCCGCCTGGACTGCCAACGTGACGCGCGGGCACCGCGGGGTCTCGAGACTTCTTCGCGATTCACTCACATCGAAACTCCCACTCAAAAACTCCGCCATATGGCGAATGGACGTCAAGTGCTAGGCCTGGCCGAAATTGCCTGTGACCCGTTCGGATTGCAGACGCGAGGCGCGGGCCGCGTCGGAACAGGGCCCCCGCGGGAGACCCCCTCGCAACTCACTCGAAGACGGGCCCCCCGTTTGAAACGCCCTCACGATTTGCCCCCTTGGCGTGCGCAAGTGATAAGCCTGGTCAAATTTGCCGGTGGCCCGCTCGGATTCCGAAAGCCAAGCGCAAGCCCCCTGGGGGGGGGCGCCGAGGCTTCCTCGCAATTCACATGCAACCGATGCCCCTGCTCAAACCACCTCCACTTGACCCCTTGAGGTGCCAAGCAAGTACGCCCAGTGAAGTTCGCCGACGGTCCGCCGGGATTGCCGACGTGCGCCGCGGGGCCCGCGGGCGGGGGCCCCCGCTCGAGCCTTCCTCGCAACTCCTTCACGCACGGAGCCCTCGCTGGGACATCTTCACGATGTGCCCCCTTGGGGCCGATCAAGCGCGATGCCCGGCGAATGTTTCCAATGGCCCGCTCGGATTCCCAACGCGGCGCGTGGGCCCATAGAGACGGGGCCCCCCCCTGAGGCGCCCTCGCTATTCACCCGCAAAGGGCGCCACCTCTCGGGGCATCCTCGCGACGCGCTCCCTCGGGGTGCTCCAGTGCTACGCCTGGTGAGTGATGCTGATGACCCGCCAGGGATCGAACGTCAAGTGCGCGCCCCATAGGAAGAGGCCTCGACTTCAGCTTTCTGACAGTTTACCCGCCCGAGACATCCCCGCGACGTGCCTCCCTTAGGCTCATCACGTGCCATGCCTGGTGGATGTGTCCGATGACCCGCTCGGATTACCAACGTGAAATGCGCGGCCGCACAGGCGACGCCCCTCCCCCCCCCCCCCCCACCCCACCCCACGCACACGCGCGCGCGCGCGCGGGACTTCCTCAGAATGCACTCGCAAACGGCGCCACCGCTCGGGGCATCCACGCGGCATGCCCCCGGGGGGTGCTCCAGTGCTACGCCTGGTAGATGATGCCGATGACCCGTTCGGAATCGAACGCCTGGTGCGAGCCCCATGCGGGTAGGCCTCGTCTGAGCTCCCTTGCAATGCGCGCTCGGATGGTTCCGATGACGCGATAACCCGCTCGAGTTCGGATATGAAGCGCGGGGGGAGGGGGGGGGGGCGCTCGCCTGAGGCTCTGGCATTTCACTGACAAGCGCCCTCGGGGGCCTCGAGCGCGAATTCCGGCACGAAAGCGATTCCGATGACCCGCTTGGATTCAAGCGCGGGGCGCGGGCCCCACAAGGATAGGGCCCCCACCTGAAACTTTCTCGCGCGTCACTCACGAACGGGGCCACCACGGGAGACACCCTCGCGATGCGCCACGTCGGATCGCTCAAACGCAATGCCCAATCGGTTTTCCCGATGGCCCGATTGGATTGCCAACGCGAAGTGCGGGCCCCATATGGAAGGGCCCCCCCGCCTGTGAGCGTGGGTGGGCGCATGATGAAACATCCATGCCAATGGCAATGAGGAGGTGCACGCGCATGGGTGGGTGCTTTCCTGCGCGGGGTCTACATGTGGAGAACAATAATGATGATGAGGGCGGTGATGCTGATAAGTCTGGCGGTGGTAATGACGATGATAAGGAGAACGATGTTTATGATTGCAATCAGGGCTCCAGCGAGCGCTCAAGGTAGTGCCAGGTGAGGATATGATCACCTGCGCAGCGGCAGTGCACAGTGGAGAAATTAATAACAGAAGTGGCGTTGACTAGACAATGGCAGCGGCAAGCAACGGCTGACGAGCACAAGCACGCTTGACGTGGGAAGAGGACAGAGATATGCGAGTCACTTGCACGTATCCAGCGATAGATTGACCGCGCAGTATCCATATTGAAGGCACGGCTTCCGAGCTCCTCAGAGGCACCAACTCAAAGAGATTCGGCGGGCAACGCTTACGAGGGACACCGAGGAAATGCGGGGCAGGCCTGCGCGGCAAGAGGAGTGACGCAACATGGACAGAGAGAGAGAGAGAGAGAGAGGGCGGGAGAAATAATAAGACATGGGATCGCGCGAGAGAGCCTGGCACCCAAATCGGCATGGCCCCCGAAGCTGTCTATGTCGAGCAGTCGCGGCCAATGCATCGCGGACCGGTTTCGACATACTGGCGAAGTCGAAGCGCGGCATCTGCGCAGAGATAATCCGGAGACGAACGAACATGAGGGTCGAACCATATCCGTCCACCGTGCAATCGTTCATCCAATACTTCGTTCACTACTACTACTACTACTACTACTACTACTACTACTACTAGTACTACTACTACCACTACTACTACTACTACTACTACTACTACTACTACTACTACTACTACTACTACTACTACTACTACTCGACCGTGCACTGCGCAGCGCATTGGCTATTTGCGAGCCACCAGTCAACTCGCGCGCCTGCTCCTCGCAGTCGGTGAAGCGGCAGCTCTGTCCCGCCCCGCGTATCTCCCAGCTTCCTGTCGCACCATCGCTCACAACTGTTCCCCCCAATGCTGTCGAGGCCCAGCGCGGCGTCGCACCCCTGCTGCGGTCTCAGGGGCGGCGCCGGCGGCATGGAACGCGACCTTCCTCAACTCCGCTATGGCGGGGTCTTTGGTCACCTGGCCTAGCAGGTTCAACTGCGTGTTTATGATGATCGCCTACAACCTCTGGAACTTCGCTCTTCTCACCAATTCGCCGCTGCTTACTCGTGAGATGAACGGCGGAAACGCCCGAATCATATCTCCCGTGGGCGTGAGCAAAAGAATCCGCCCAACCAGCGCACGTCGGTCTGCGCGAGCCACATGGGTGCCGCGGCATACTTCAGCTTCGACCCGATGACGCTATGGGGCAACTCGAAATTCCGAGCCAGGCTAATCGTCGCGTTATTCCAGGCAGTGCGGGGCGATTTGAAATCTGCCGAGGCGGTGCCAACTGTTTCTGCCCGCCTCAGGAGTAGCGCGGCCATCGCTGCGCACCGCGCCCACCGAGTGCACCATTGCGCCCCTGGCCGCCAATGCGTCCCCGGCCGGAGCGGCGACGTTCATGTCCGCGCAAAACTGCGCGAGCCAAAGCCGCCCCGAGTGAGTCTTCAGGCCGCG